AGATTTGGATGGCACTTTTCAGAAGTTTACTCTAGATACTAACACTAAAGAGTAAGTGTGTTACTACTCAGATATTTCAACTACATCATTAAAAAAGAACAGAAAAATACTTAATTAGTCAGGTAAAGAAAAATAAAAGTAATTATGATTTTCTATAAAATGTCTTACGGTAGTTCTTCATTTACTAATTTTGGAGAAAAAAATTTCTTTGTGTGGGAATTGTAGCCGTTAAAATTTTCTAACCATTAAAAAGAAGATTTAGTAAAAAGTTTATACAGTTTGTAAATGAAAATCCTTTACTCAGCTTACAGCTTGTCAGGAAAATTCTAAATTGTGAAGTTATACGTTTATAATTTGTATACATATTTAGGTTGTGAAATTTTGATTTCTAGAGAACTTTTTTTTTAAGTTAATTTACTGTTATAATTATTATTATTATGGCTGATCAGAAACAAGAAAATGTAAACAATATACTTTGCCTTCAATAGTTACTCCAAAGTTCTACCTCCAGTCCCACTACATATCACAAGTCCTTGTAAAGCTTGCTAGTATGTTTTTAATTTTCAACCTGTCAAAGGTTCAGATACATTGCTGTTCTTAAATTAACTGATCATAAAGAAGACAACCAGCTGGCAGCATCTTGCCACCCATGCAGCTACTCTTAAACAAATGGTACAATTTACTTTCATAGTTACAATGACAGTACACATATTCAACAACGTATGTCTTAAACCTTTGACCTGTTGATCTGCATCCTTCCTGGCACACTAACCCCAACCATTGAAGTAATGGGTACAGAAAGCACAGTCTTTCTATGAAGACTTCCTAAATAAAACGAAATTATAGGATGTAGTAAAGTTTCACTAGGATAAAAATCTGATGTAATGCCTTTTATGAGACTTAAGCACAAAAAGTACAGAGTCTATGCTACTCTGTGCTCTCTTACTTTAGCAACTGCCTGGTGCGTTAACCGCTGCACAGTTATTGCACAACTTCTCTATACATATGTGATCAAAAAAATAGTGTGTTGTGAACTGTTTTGTTTGGCACAAGCAATGATTTCATAGAAGTATACATTTTTGGCTAGTTACACGAGTCTTAAGAGTAAGCTAATCACATTGTTAAGTAAAAAATTTAAATAAGTTTATTTCAAATAGAGGCAGACTAAACGATTTTTTGCTGGTTCAGAATTGGACTTGCAATTAACAAATTCTCAGCATTCTTTAACTGTTATTCACCCTCAGTTCTAATAGTGACATTACAATGTTTTAATACATGTTTTCAAGGGCTATGAAATTGGTGACTGTACAAGAAGCAAACCAAAAACATTTTTATTTTGTTTTAGAATGGAATACAACTTTACTTATTTCTTTGTTGGCTTCATTAATAATACTGGTCAAATATTTAATGTTTGTTTTAAATTTATCATCATTAGTATGAGGATTATTTTCCATTCATCTTAATATGTAGGTTTAGGATCAACCTAAATTTCCTATTCTGGTCAAATCTTGAGACTTGTAATTGACAACAGCTGATGAATCATTACATCCGAATCATTAAAAGTTTTTGTTTTATGACATTACATACTCCGAGTTTGTTTGTATTAAGTTACCTACATTACTTACAGGGTTAATTTTCAGTTCTGATCTTTTGATGGCACTCTGTAGTTACATATAAAATTGGTTCCCCCCCCAAAACCTAACCCTTTAGTTTCATTTGTTATTCACTTGGGCAACTGACAATCCTCATTGAGGTGGCACCTTTTACAAATACACCACTTGCACTAGTAATATGAAGTGGCTTTTTAGTAAGCTTGCTTTCATCAGAAGTTAATGATGCAAGCCCAAGTTTATTCACTGTGTGTTTTATATATACATTGTTGAATGACCACCTGGTTAACAAAGTTAAATATTTCTACCACAACTGTAGTTATTAGGTTTTCATTTTTTGTTATCGAATAAATTTATGATAAATATTTTATTATTTTAGTTAATGTACTGTTTCAACAGTGATATTTTTTATATTTCTTGAAGATATTTAGATGGAAAAGAAAAAAAGAAAGAAAAGAAGAAAGGTTTATTCTAGATTCTGTGGAAACAAACATTCACCAGTTGGTACTTGGCTTACACCTTGCATCACTTCTGAAGATTTATTCTAGATTCTGTGGAAACAAACATTCACCAGTTGGTACTTGGCTTACACCTTGCATCACTTCTGAAGATTTATTCTAGATTCTGTGGAAACAAACATTCACCAGTTGGTACTTGGCTTACACCTTGCATCACTTATTGAAGGTTTAT